TTAAATTTTTCAATATAATAGAGTTTAACTAAAATGTAGAATTTCTACATTAAATAATTAATTCTATAATTCTGAAGCTATGTTTCTAAAGTTTTTCAAATACAATTTTTTATGGTTATAAAGAAGTTGGCAATTGACAAACTGTTAAAAAGGTTTCTTTTTCTAAAAATTAATTAAGTCGATCCCAATCTTGATTTTATCTTACACTATACAAATTATCATATTATTCACATATGCTAATATTTTTCTATAATCCATAATCTGTCAATAGGTTTTTTAACCGACCAAAGTATCCATTTAAATTGTCCATTTATTTAATAAGGTAATTATTATGAGGAAATATTGAAATCAAATATCGTATAGCTAAGTGCTTATCATTTTTTTGTTTTAATTTATTGAGAAAAAGATTTACAATTCTTTCAAAATCTTATTCAGAGCTAATGATACCGTTTAATTTATCATCCACAATGCTTTTTAACTCTAAAGTCTTATTGTATTTTGATAATGAACCAAGTGACATGAATTATTTAAAAATTATTAAGTAATAAAGATTTTCAAATTGTATTTATAAATCACAAATGTACACCATATCTGTTCAATCCTAATGATTAGGGTTAACTTTAAGGTTAAATTAGATTTATTAATTACAGCATAGTAAATGTTTTGGATTAATAAATCATTAATCTAATTGCAACTATTAATCACTTTCAATAATTGTATTGAGAGTTATCTTTATAAGAAAATGAGATTAATTAAAATAATTGCTTATCTTCATTTACTTCCTTTATTTTTCATCTTTCAGCTGGTTTAATAATTACCAACTTTGGATCATCTTCTTCTTCTTTTTTTTTTACAAATTTTATTCGCAATTCTATGCTAATCAAGTGCTGGATTTATGTTTGGAATTGATAAATCTGCCAAAATCATATGTTCCATTTTATTCTTGGAATTGGAGCTGATTAACACATTAAAGAAAAAATAAAAATAATCATAATTTATTTAATTAATAGATTTAGAACAAATAATATGTAAAATAATATAATGAAAAGAAATTTTTATCTTTATTTATTAATCTCTATTTGGATTATATGATTTTGATAAAAATCGTGGCCTCTATTTATTAAAACAAATTATAAAAAGTAATAAGATATCATTGATATAAGGTATTATCATTTATCAATATAATTAAGTTTGATTCTTCATTTTCGCATTTTTAACCAATACATTTTTAAAATAGATTTTTGTATCATATATTATTATGATATAGCACAATTATCAAAAAAAATGCGATAATTGATATTTAAAACTCATTCCTTTTGCTTTTTTTTAAATTACCTTTAAGGGCAGTTGATTTTAATAAGGATATAGGTCGCTTTCAGCTTTTATTCAAAGAAAAGAAAATGCTTTTAAACCGATTGAATATGGATTTGATGAACCTCAATATTTATGAGTTAATAATCAGGTTTTAGTTATTCTATAGATCGATTACTTTATAATAATTTGGGGACTGAATAGGTCATAAGCCACATTATTTTCTTTTCAATATTAAATCATGTCACCTTAATTATTAAAAGTGAATGAGTTGGTATATTAATTAATGTCTCCTATTCCATCGTCTATTATGTTCTCAAAAGCATTCAAGTTTTATTATATTTCTACAAGATTGTTTTTTTAAGCAGATGGTGTTTTTTTATAGCTTGATTACACTATTCTATTCACATTTAGTGCATTTGCAATTTATCCTTCCTTTATTCTTCCAACTCTTGCTGTATGTTTTATCAATTCGAAATGTTATTTATGATCTGTGCATCTTAAGTTATCCACTTTTGTCTGGTAATCCAAGTCTCATTCTGTATACCTAGGTATCATAAATTTGACAACCTTCTCTTCTTATGGTATCTCCTAACAAGTCTTTATCATTTACCATATGTCTTATCTGCTATTTCCAATAGCTTATTATTTCCTTTCCTTCACTATCCACAAGTTTTAATCACTCTCTCTGTTCTCGAACATGTTTATATTATGCATGTTCCATGAGGTTATCCTTATTTCATTTTCAGCTTAGTTTTACGAATATCCCTTCCCGTCCGGCCTATTCGGTCCAATCAGGGGAATTTTCTCTAAATATTATTATCCAAGTAATTAGAATCTGACCTTCCTACCTAAATTTTTCTTTTGAGTTACAATTAGAGACTACTTACCTGGCTGTTCCATCTTGAAGTAAGCAACCTGATGATGTCCCAGGTTAGGACGCCATGATTTTTATTTTTTAAATTTAAAATAACAAATTTTTGGATACTTAAATTAATGGCTTGAATTTAAGAAAGATAAAACTCTATTTTTACAATTGCTTAATTATTTGTAAGTTTTTTATTAGTTTTTTTAATTTTTGGTTGATTTGAAAACATGTTTATGTGTAATTTTAAACATTATTCATTTTTATTTCTACAAACTGGGATTAAATTTAAAAATATTAGAACATTCTCTACAATAGTTTAACAAAATCCTCCTCATTCAATACAACTAGAAGTTCATAATATCCATAGTAATTCATAGAAAGTCTTTCTTTTTTCTAATAATTCTTTGTTTAAGAAGAAGATTTTTTTTAATTTAAGTAATAATATAAAGTAATTTTTTTGTAAATATATTCATGATAGGCTCACTAAAATAATCAACTAAAAGAATATTTATATTCTAAATCAATTCAGTTTAAATAATTTGACCCAATTAAAGGCTTAAAAAAGAAATGCTTTATTTTATGGATATTTTTTGAAATATTTTGTTTTGAATCCTTTACCTTGATTTTTTTACTATTATTAATTAAAATTAAAGAAATCTTTAAGTGGATAGAAACATTTGCTTAATTCTTTTCTATTGATGTAACTTCAATTATATTAATATTTTCATTTACATATTTTTCAATAAATGTGTACAGTATCTAAATAATTACAACTTTAAATAAAAATTTATAAAAAATTTATTTCAATAAGTTTTCATTTATTAAAAATTGATCAACAATTTTTTATTTAATGGGTTGCTTGGTTAATTTCTTCGATCCAAACTTAAGCAATCTATTAAGGTTACATTGAAGATTGTATTTTAGCAGAAGCAATGTATTATTAACAGGAATTAACAACTTTTTACAATACCTTTGGAGATTCTTCCTCAGAACAAGCAATTAGTTCTATTTTTTTTCTTTGATTGGATGATAAATTTTTTAATTTCTCCAGAGCTTCTTCTGGATATAAANTATGGTATTATTTGTTTTCAACATCATATTTTCTGTCAGTGTCTATTCATCTTTTAAATAAAGCCACGTTCCATTTGTTGACGATTTTCCTTAAATTCCATCAATAATTTTCCATTGCCCATCAAAAAGAATCGTACATTGATATTTAGATAACAGAACATCATCATAATACCTAATCAAACAATCTATATTTCTTCCTATAGTCACAGGCAAATAATTTTTAGATCCTAAAATGTAAACATCATCTTTTGCCGTTCCACCATAGATTTGAATTCTAAGGTACCATTAATCTCTTTCTATAGATAAAAAACATTATCGATCGCAAGGGTATCCACTGATAATAAATTCCTTTACATCCTATAAATTATTAAAAGATGGCAATTTAATTAAATCTTACCCATAACATATTTATGTTGTAAAATACATTTATCCCAATGTTATTAGGGTATTATTTTACAATTTAATTTCATTAGTTTTAAAAAAGCATCCAAATCCTATTCCTAAATCTTTGATTTTAAAACTTTCTGATTTATGATCATATTTAATATAAAAATGCTACCCCCTATTTTTTTTATTCAATTTATTATCAACGGATGGGATTTTAAAATGATTAATTTAATATCCCCCTTTTTTGTTTTTGTATTTACAACCAAAATAAATAACATTTTATTAAGAATTTGGTTAGAACTCGAAAATTTGATTTTCTTCCAAAGTTGCAGATGCTATTACTCTTAGGACTAAGATGGGCACTTTTCCTTATTAATCCATATGTGAGAATGAGGATATTTTATTTGTTTATTAAAGATCTATCTAATGTGATTATGGATGCTTTTTTTCTGTTAATTAATCATTTGCATTAGTATTGATAGCATCAAAGTGAGAAATGGTTTATTAATGATTTATGGAATTATCATAATTGTTAGTATTTAAATGTTAAGGTGAATCAGTGCAATTGCAAGCATCTTTGGAAATTTATTCTCCCATAATGAATAAAATATAATATTTAGTATGGTTAGGAAATTGATATATAGTTCAGAATAGTAATAAAAAGAGAAATAAAATATTGATATTAATTTTATAATAATCATTTTCAGATTAATATTAATAACTCACTACTGTTATACTATTATTAATTAAAATTAAAGAAATTTTTTAATGGATAGAAACATTTGATTAATTCTTTTCTATTTGTAACTTGAATTGCATTAATATTTTGATTTACATAATTCTCAATAAATGTGTAATTACATCAATAAATAAAAATTTATAAAAAATTTATTTCAATTAGTTTTCATTTATTAAAAATTGATCAGCAATTTTTTATTTAATGGGTTGCTTGGTTAATTTCTTCGATCCAAACTTAAGCAATCTATTAAGGTTAAATTGAAGATTGTAATTTAGCAGAAGCAATGTATTATTAACAGGAATTAACAACTTTTTACAATACCTTTGGAGATTCTTCCTCAGAACAAGCAATTAGTTCTATTTTTTTTCTTTGATTGGATGATAAATTTTTTAATTTCTCCAGAGCTTCTTCTGGATATAAAGCATCTCCATCGGTGTAAAAAAATATTGAATGGCTACAAATAAATTAATAATTTACGAACTAAATTTGCCAAAATCCTTATTGTTAGCAATTTTTTCAAAAGCAATTTCTAAGGGAGCATTAAAATCTGTTCCTCCACCCTCATATTAGATTAAGGAGTTTTAAACTTCAGGATTAGCAACTTGATAATCAACAACAATTCTAGCTTAACTATTGAAGAGGATAATAGTAACCATAGAATCCTGATTTTTTTAAATTTCATCAAGAAATTTTACCAAACCTTTTTTAGCAGATTCAAAACGATTTCCATACATTGTACCAGAATCGTCTAGTATCAGAATATAATTAACAGCTTTTTTATTTCGTCCTAATTCAACTTCTTATTTTGGAGTATAACATACATCCTTTCCAATTTCCTAAGTTAATTTTTCGCAAATCATATTTCCTATATTATTATTCCAAACCTTCATGAATTTTTCTTTATAACTTTTTAAATCATCATTATTTAGACAAGTAAATTACCAGCCATTATAAATTTATTTGATTTCCTTCCATGTTCTTACTGTTGCGGTTTCTAATAATGAAATTTAAAAATCATCTTATATTTCTTCACAAGTATATAAAGAAGGATGACAACCAATTAAAACTCCACTCATACCTATTATAATATTAAATATTACCCCTTAATTAATGTCCATTTTAGCATTAGTGCTTATGATTACTATCATCATTTTATTAATCACATTTTCTTTTGCAAAGTGGACATAATTCTAAACAACCAATTTATCTAAGTTATAAAGCATCTAAATCAGCTTATAATTTTAGATTTTCTAATTAAATCTGATTCTATTTAATATCTTCAATACTTTTTCTTATTTTGATTATAAAAGCTTAAATGAAAATAAATAATATTTAAATTTCTTCATCTGTCTTTTATATTGTTGTGCATAAAGGCAATTCGAATTAATTAAAATTGTAAGTTTAAAATGCAGTAATTTTATCTTATTTTATTTAATCTAATAAATCTTGTTTTACCTATCCCTAAAGACAGCTTAAAACTATTTCAAATAGCAATTTTGGAGCATCTTCAGGGTTATCCAATTATTGAAAGTATTCCTTCGCTTATAAAGGATAAGCGACATGTTCATCTAAATATACAGTGTTGGCATCCACTTTTTCTAAATATGATTTAAGATCCAAATGTAGTTGATTTGTAAATTTAGTTTGAATTTCCTATTTAAGCTTGTTAATTGATTCTTTCACATAGTTTTCTATATATGCTCTGTGATTTCTGATATAGTATAGTATCTATTCATCAGTAACGGTTTAATCATTTCTTTCAAGAATTTCATTGTCAAGTTTTTATATTATATTAAAACTGAATTCTGTATTCGAATTAATAAATTATGATTTAGCTTCTTCAGAATACTTCGCTTGGAATCTTAAAATTGCTTGTTTTATAATTTCATCAGCTAATTATTCTCCTCTGATTTTGCTTTACTCTTTTTTATTTTATTGGATGTCAGCCTTAAATTTTTAATATTGCAAATCCCTTTGGTCAATTAACTATTACAAAGTTTTCTAGGTTAATTTAAATTACTTATAGCATAAAACCCTCCAAATACTAAATATTACAAAATAGAAAATCTATCGTTCTCCTAAATCGCTCAAAATAACTCCAAAATTAGAAAATTACATATTTAAATCTTTAATTTTAACTTCTATTTTTTACAAAATGCTTTTTATTAAACTAAAACTATATTATTTAGCTTTCATTTCTTTGATCTAATGCAGTATCATTTAATGTATCTCATTATATATTTTTTTCCATCCTTCATAGTTTTTAAGAATCATTAACTATTGAATAAATTCAGCAACACCTAGTCTAAAATTACCTTAAAATTAAGAATATAAATTTTGATTCAAGATAAAACTTAAAATATTGACCACATCCACATCGGTATTAAATTAGGGTTCAATATTTTAATTTACTATTACTTATACCTAAGTTTATACTATAAAAAAATTATTTTCATTAAACTTTTTTCTGCTATTTTCTATTTCATTATTTTAGGTTGATTCAATAATTATTTGTTATTATTTAATATAATTTCTAAAGCGATTACATTGTCTGTTGATAATATCAATTGAGGAATCATATTGAGTCTCCCCAAAATATTACCTTTATCCAGATAGAAAGCAGGAAGATAACATATTTTAATCACATTCAGACTATCCTCAATATAAGAAAATAAAGATTCTGCATTTTGTTCTTCGATTTTATATCCAAATATAGAGAAATTTCTTAAAAAAGTTATAAATTAAAATTTATCTAGATTGGCAGCTTAACTATAGTAGGATTGGATATCAAAATGCATATCTTTTTATTTATATTATTCAAAATCTTCTTTAATCATATATCGAATTTCTATTTTTTAAGAATAAAATTAATTGATTTATAAAACTTATGTAGATGAACATTTCATTAATTTATTTTCTATGTTTTAGTTAAAATTTTCATAAAATATGTAATAATCTTTATTTAATGTTCTTTTTTCTGCGATTATAAATTGGCATCTCGATAAATCTAATTTTAATATTTCTAATGATTTTAAATAATCTTCTTATTATGGTTTTTATTTAATTAA